AAAAAAAAAAAACATTCTAAGTGGTGGGCACAGGTGGGCCTATTAAAAGCCACTAGGGGCTGGGCACAGTGACTCATGCCTGTAATCCCAGCACTTTGGAAGGCCGAGGTGGGCAGATCACCTGAGGTCAGGAGTTCAAGACCAGCCTGGCCAACATGGCAAAAACCCATCTCTACTAAAAATACAAAATTAGCCAGGCGCGGTGGTGCATGCCTGTAATCCCAGCTACTCGAGAGACTGAGACAGGAGAATCGCCTGAACCCAGGAAACGGAGATTGCAGTGAGACAAGATCATGCCATCCCACTTCAGCCTGGGCAACATGAACGAAACTCCACCTCAAAATAATAAAAAATAAAAGCCACTAGGGTAGTTGCCACCATCTATGAGGGACTCTTGTCCCTGAAGAAAAAGTCTCCCATGTTAAGATAAACAGGTACGATTACTATTGGGGTGCCTGCCAGTCTCAAGAAAATTTCCATGTGACTAGGGAAAACTTGGTCACAGACTGGACAACTTCAGGCAAAAGCCATCTGCCAGGGATAAAAAAAGTATTCTGTGCCAGGTACACCGTAAAAAAAAAAACACGGGTCCAAGCCCCTGACATTCCCAGCAGGGCTTATAGGGGTTTCTTTTGCTCTCAAAAGATTAATAAAAAATGGGACAGGATTCTCAAAATTCTAGGCATGCCAGACTCTCTGGGATGGGACTCTAGCTGGAAAGATGTTCAAAACTGATGGCCCTTTCTCATGCATATTTTTAAACTGATGGGCAAACTATACCAATGATAATTTATGGCCATGATGGGAATTATTTGAATTTTCTAAACTTGTTTTTCTCAGAAAACCTCAACTACAGAGTTAAGCAGTCTAAACACTGGATGCATAAAGAGGTTTCTAACCTCTGTATGTACTTTTGTTGTTGTTTATTCTGAATCTGCTAATTTTTTCACTTGTATTAAGATAAATCTTTTACTAAAGGCTACTTGAAGGTTTTCATTTTTTCTCCAACCCCTAAATGAAATATAAACATCCAAGAGTTCACTAAAACAATTCATCTGAAACTGAGAAAAGGTGGTGAGAAGTTTAAAACAAAAAAAGACTTTTTAAAACCAAACTGCTATGGAAACTGCTTTGCCCAAAATTTGGTTCACAACCTTCATTATATTACATCTCAGGACAAATAAAAATTTTCAAGTTTAGCCATATGAACATGACCCTAACTTGTCCCATTTTGTTAGAGATATAATTTGGATCCAACTGTATTTTTATAAGCTGACAAGTTTATATTACTCTGTTTTACTGTATTATGATTAGAATTTTAAAGTAAAAACTGTAAATTTTTTGTTTTTCTTCATCTATATGTTTTTACTTTTTGTGTCTACATATTTTATGTATATGATTTTAAATTTATAAAGATCTCTATTTAATTGGCTTGACGGAAAATAATTAAGTGCTTAAAAAAGTAATATGTTAGAAATACAGTAATTAATACAAATGCTTTTACGTTCACGTGAACATAAATCCTTTTTTTTTTTTTTTTTTTTTTAGACAGAGGCTTGCTCTGTCGCCCAGGCTGGAGTGCAGTGGCACAATCTCTGCTCACCACAACCTCTGTCTCCTGGGTTCAAGTGATTTTCCTGCCTCAGCCTCCCTAGTAGCTGGGATTACAGGTGTGTGCCACCACTCCTGGCTAATTTTTTGTATTTTTAATAGAGATGGGGTTTCACCATGTTGGCAAAGCTGGTCTCGAACTCTTGACCTCGTGATCTGCCCACTTCGGCCTCCCAAAGTGCTGGGATTACAGGTGTAAGCCACTGCACCTGGTGGGTAATCTTTTGTAAGTAAACTAATCTTAAAATTATTGGTAAAATAGGCTGGACGTGGTGGCTCACACCTGTAATCCCAGCACTGTGGGAGGCCGAGGTGGGCAGATCACTTGAGGTCAGGAGTTTGAGACCAGCCTGGTCAACATAGTGAAACCCCATCTCTACTAAAAATACAAAAATTAGCTGGGCATGGTGGCGCACACCTGTAATGTCAGCTACTCAGGTGGCTGAGGCAGGAGAATCACTTGAACCTGGGAGCTGGAGGTTGCGGTGAGCTGAGATTGTGCCATTGCATACCAGCCTTGGCAACAGAGTGAGACTCCACCTCAGAAAAAAAAAAAATTGTTGGTAAAATAAAAATAAAAATGTCTTCAGAATTCTTAGCATAAATTTTTGCCTGAGTTTACTGGTCAGGAAGTTCTATATTTGTCTCTGCTAGATGTTGTAAGGTCATAGACCCACAAATCCAGCCTGAAAAGCAAAATTATCTTTGTGTAATTCTTTGATGAATAAGGCTAGTTTAATATTGTTTAAAACAATTTTTTTTTTTTTGTAGTGATGGAGTCTTGCTATGTTACCCAGGCTAGTCTCAAACTCCTGAGCTCAAGCAGTTCTCCTGCCTCAGCCTCCCAAAGTGTTGGGGTTATAGATGTGAGCCACTGCACCTAGCCAGTAAAAAATTATTTTAAAAAAGAACATGAATATATGTTTTTTAATTTAAAAATAATAATTATATCTAATTTGGACATTATTTAAAGGTTGTTTCAAAATATAGATTTAAGATGAAAATAAAGACAAGACAGAAAGAAATCAATAAGTAAAAGAGACATGCAAAGAAAATGATAAATATGAGAAGGTATCTTTGGTAAGAAAGATGAAAAAGATACATAACTTTGTATGAGAAAGAATCTTATGTGGTAAAAATGATAAAGAAAAAGAAAAGTAAATTTTTGTCTTAAGGTAGAATAATTGTTTATTCCAATATTAAAAAAGAAAATCTAAAACAAAATTAGGCCTAAGCAAGCCATAAGATGTTTGAGCAACTTGCAAAATGTTTGTGAAAGATGAGTCTTACGAAATAAATTGTACATGTAATCAAGTTGGCTAAATTTAGAAGGAAATTGTTTATAAATTTTTCTGAAAATTGAGTATACTGATACAAAACCAAAAACTAGTTATCTATGTTTAAAGTGATAAGGGTTTACTGGAGTATCATTGCTCTTAGTTTAAAAAAATAAATTACAAGAGGTTTTGATTTTTAATTCTGAAATCTGGTTGGGTGTGGTGACTCACACCCAACCTGCTTTGGGAGGCCGAGGCAGGAGGATTGCTTGAGGCCATGTGTTTGAGACCAGCTTAGGCAATATCATGAGACCCCAATCTCTACAAAAAAAAATTAAAAATTAGCCAGGCATAATGGTGCATACTTGTAGTTCCTCCCTTGCCCCCCACCTTCTCAGGAGGCTGAGGTGGGAGGATCAGTTGAGCTCAGGAGTTTGAGTCTGCAGTAAGCTATGATGGTACCACTGCACTCCAGTCTGGGCAACAGAATAAGATCCTATCTCTAAAAAAAAAAAAAAAAAAAAAAAAACCCAGAAATCTATTTCTTCAAATTTTTTACCATCTTCTGAACTATAACCTCTTCCTGTTTTATGGTTTCTGTTTAATTTCTCTATAGTAATTTAATTTCTCAAACTAGAGTCTTTCTCTTGAAGATTTTCAGATTTATGTCTCAGAAGTGCAACTTCTGCTGCACCTCATTGCACATGATTTGCAAGTCATACACCATTGCCTTCTGCTGTTCCTCCTTCTCCTCTTAAGAAGGCACACCTTTTTTTTTTTTTGAGACGTATTCTCACTCTGTCACACAGGCTGGAGTGCAATGGCGTGGTCTTGGTTCACTGCAACCTCCACCTTCTGGGTTCAAGCAATTCACCTGCCTCAGCCTCCTGAGTAGCTGGGACTACAGGCACATGCCACTACACCAGGCTAATTTTTGTATTTTCAGTAGAGACAGGGTCTCACTATGTTGTCCAGGCTGGTCTTGAATTCCTGACTTCGTGATCCACCTGCCTCGGCCTCCCAAAGTGCTGGAATTACAGGCATGAACCACCGCGTCTGGCCACACTTTTTTTTTTCTTAATTAACTTAAAGACTCTCTCCCTTGACATTTTGGTAAGCTTCTGTACTTATTTTATCTGGTTCTAACTCTGTTGTTGAGGCCTAATGCTGATATGTTTGTCTTAAAGGCCTAGAAAAGCAATGTTTTCCTCAAGAATAACTTGATTCTGTGCTATCGGCTTTTCTTGATATGTCTGAATTATTCCATGTAACCAGGAAACTTAATGTGCTTTTACTTTTTCTAAGAGCCATATGTTTCCCTGCTCGAGGTACTTATTGTTTTGTTTACTTCTTCTATAATATAGTGTATACTCATAACCTTGGACACACACTCATCAAGTGTCAGATTGAATCCAAGTACCTTTTCATTAGGTTAGATTTTCAGGTTATCTAAAAGGACTTCCTATAAGAAGCAACTACACTGCAGGAGTATTTATTTTTTGGTAATTGGCCTAGGAAACAAAGATTCTGTGTTTTATCAAGGTAATTTCCTGTGCTTCATGCTGTCTTTATTAGTTTGTTGTTGTTGTTGTTTTTGAGACTGAGTCTCACTCTGTTGCCAGGCTGGAGTGCAGTGGCGTGATCTCGGCTCACTGCAACCTCCGCCTCCCAGGTTCAAGCATCAGCCTCCCGAGTAGCTGGGACTACAGGTGCATGCTACCACGCCCAGCTCATTTTTGTATTTTTAGTGGAGATGGGGTTTCACCATGTTGGCCAGGATGGTCTCGATCTCTTGACCTCGTGATCCACCCACCTCTGCCTCCCAAAGTGCTGGGATTACAGGCGTGGTGAGCCACTGCACCCGGCCAGGTTTGTGGTTACTTAGGAAAACTGAGTCTTTAGCCTTTAAAAAAACCAAAAAACAAAAAACAACATGCAACTTTCTGCATTTGCTTTTGCAATTTTTATTCTTTAAGATAGGGTCTCACGATGTTGTCCAGTCTGGTCTTGAACTCCTGCACTTAAGGGATCCTCCCACCTCATTCTCCTGAGTTGCTGGGACTACAGGTGCACACCACCATGCTCAGCTTACTTTTAAAATCTTCAGTCACAATCCTTTTGTAGTTCATGAGGATGATTGAGTGTTCACACTCATGTGTGAGATGTGCTACCCTCAGACCTTGAAATCTGCAGTCACTCTTGGTAAGTGAACAACTATTATTTCACTATGATCTGCAATTCTGTTTTAATTAAATGTTTTATACCTTTTGACATATTTGGCCGGCTTTCTCAATATCAGAGCTCTAAATGAAGTCTTTTCAACCTAGAATTATCTTTGAGATTTTCTAGCTGGGCTCCTGGAGAACCTCAAAGGATGGATTTTTCAGCTTGTAGAGATGTTAAACTAATTAGGCTTGTTTGATGTATTGAGTTGTATGAGAAGCATTGGAGGCACAGATGGGATCAAATAACAAAGTGATGCTAAATCTTCTCTAAGTTATATTTATATGGCTATGTTATTGATGTGAAAGATCTAAAAATTATGTAAAATTTATAAATGTTTGATGGTCCTAATGTGATGCTGTTAGTCATTTTTCTGGTTGTCGTCTTAAAATGCTGTATGCAATAAACATAACTGAGTTTCCTTTTCAATTGCTGAACCCTCATCAGATTTTTAACCATGGCTGTTTTAAGCCTCTGTCTTCCACAGTTTTAATTCTTCTTTAAATGCATCTGCAATCAGATTCATGGAAAAGACTCTGGCCAGTATGCCTGAATATAGATTTCTGATAAGTTTAAGATTAATGGACTAAGTAAAGATATTCAGGACCCCCATGAAGAAACTGATAAATTCATGAAACTGACAACTAAGATTACACAGAACAAAAATTAATTACATGAGATTAAATATCTAATGAAGACAGATATTTGAAACACTGTTGGTTTTTTACTTAAATGTTTTGTTTTCCAGATTTAAGGAGACTTTCTCTCTCAATCTATATATAGTTTACAACCATTTGGTAAAGTGTACTTTTGTGAGCAAAACTGGCAACATTTACTTTTTCTCTGTCCCTCCAAAATTTGGAAACTATTTGTGAGTATTCCTAATTTTTATGGCAATGAAGTTGTTTGCATAAGTTTAATTAGAAGCTGCTTTTTTAATAACAAGGTACAATTGGAAACATTGGTTACGTTACCAAGCTTTTAAAAGTAACGTCATATTTTAAGTTATTTATAGGTATAGTAGAAAAAGTCTGAAGTCTGCCTTAGATTAGCTTTCTAGCCTTGAGAAGCTTTTAAAGTCAAATCTGAGGTTCCTACGTGGTCAATTACTATTTCTGCTGTGCTTGTGTGAATTTATCAGGCCAAATTTGATAAAACACAAATAACAACAAATTAGTCTTACTCGGATTATCTTTGGTAGAAATCAGAATGACCGTAGAAAGAAAAGTTGTGTTTCTATGTTTCTAAAGAAAAATTAAAATATACCTTTTATTAGATTGTAACCCTGTGTGGGGTATTTTTGTTTGTTTGTTTGAGTTTTTATTATTTACCTGTGGACTGAACTGGATCTTAAATTCTTCTAGGTTCCTCCAATCCACTTTTCTCCCATGGAATTACTAAGAATGGGAACTGCTCTTTCCTAAAGCCCTGTAAGCTGAAGTTAGACAACTTGATGTAAATTTCAAGGGTCAATCTTCATGCCTGATGTGTGGGCCACACCAAAAGTTCACCAAACCACCGAATGCCATAACCAGAGACATTTAAACTACAAACCAAGGTGAGCAGCTGACATCTTCATGCTGTGGACATGCTGTTCCTTCCTAAAGTGATGGAACAAGATTTCCCATCATAATGAAACTCTTACCCCTCTGAATTTTTCCTTGCTTATGCCTAACTTTTTCACTTGGCATAATAATGATACAATTAAAATTTCACAGTCAGCAACTTCTGCAGGGAACTTGACCAAATGTTGCAGCTGTCATGCCAATCCTGAATATTTACATAGCCTAAAAAAAAAAAAAAAAAAAAGGTTTAGTCCATCCAATAGGTAACTTTAACAAAATCCCTAATACAACTGCTACTCTTTGCTTTAACTCAACCCAGTCATGAGATAATAGATGATAGAATTGCTCTTGATTATCTAGCTGAAAAAGGCAGTGTCTTTGCTATTGCTAATACTACATGTTGTACCTGGATAAATTCCTCTGGGGAAGTCGAGACCCCAATACACAAAATAAGAAAACAGGCCACATGGAAGCAATAGGTCTCACCTAATTCACCATAGTCATTTGATTTATTAGTTGCCTTTAAGCATTCGTTCATGGTTCAAAGCTATTAGACAAGCTGAAATTCTCATATTAGTATCAATGATACTTTGTGTTTTCCTTTTTAAACTTTGTATCTATTGTCTGTTAAATTTCTGCAGGAGTAGGACTTCTAACAATAATGCTGTCCCAGCGCTTTGAATGCTACCCAACGCCTACGGAACAGAACAAATTAAACTTGACGATGGCCTCTAGACAGACTTAGCCTGACAGGCACCCCCTCCAAACCTCCCTTGTAGCTCAAATGTAGCTAAAAGGGTTTTGACACTTACTCCTAGTTGCCAGTCAATTCCTTCTGATATGGGACCAGACTAACAACTCAGAACAGGTTACTCCACACCAAGAGACAGTCAAAACCTAACCATAAGATAATTAATCAAAGATGCTTTCAGAGAATGATCTCAATTAAAAAAGAAATGTTAAAAAAGTCATCAGAATCAAAATGGAATCACTTGTGTCAAACCAAATTGACAAATGAAGCCACGAAGGGGGGTTCTCATGCACATGCACGTGGTAACAAGAACGGTCACAAGAGACTACAAAAACAACCTTGCACAAAAGTTGCTACAACAGCACACAAAAAAATACTTCTGTGGGCTGGGCATAGTGGCTCATGCCTATAATTCCAGCATTTTGGGAGGCCGAGGTGGGTGGATCACCTGAGGTCAAGAGTTCGAGACCAGCCTGGCCAACATGGCAAAACTCCATCTCTACTAAAAATAAGTAAAAAAAAAAAAAAAAAAAAAAAATTAGCCAGGTGTGGTGGCGCATGCCTGTAATTCCAGGTACTCAGGAGGTTGAGGCAGGAGAATCACTTGAACCCAGGAGGTGGAGGTTGCAGTGAGCCAAGATCGCACCATTGTACTCCAGCCTGGGCGGCAAGGATGAAACTCTGGCTCAAAAACAAAACAAAACGAAATAATCCTTGTCTTTCTTTACTTCCCTGAATATACCCATGTGTACTCCCATTGCAATGCTCATTCCTCAATAACAAACATCATTTTCTCTTAGAGAGCTTCTCTCTCTGTTATTTGTGTTGACCGAAGAATCGAGACCACACTCAGTGTCTGCCACTCCCTCAGTTCATTTATGAGCCAAGAGGCAGCAGATCCTTGCACACGGGTTGCCATGCTTTTACTCATGTGACCTGCAGCCCAGGAGTAGCAGAGCTGTCATTGCTCCACTTGTTTCCCTGTGACCTTTTAGTGGGCTCCAGCCCATTCCCAACTTCCGGTATCTACATCTCTTAGCCCAGGGGCTTTTTTATTTTCCACAGAACTGAGGAAGTTGGCTCCTCCCAGCACAGGGGAGGGTGAAAGTGACTGGGAATTAGAATCCTCAGAGAGCAGCCTTCAAACAGTAACAGTAGGAAGTTGGTATATAAATACATCTATTCCCTCCTCCTTTGGATGGGATAATTCTGAAGCGTATGTTTCATGCTGGGTTTCCCCCCAGGGAATTAAACTCTAGTTGCCCACTATGGTAGCTTGCTTAATAATGCACTTTCCCTTCCTTGTATCACTTCCTTTTTTGGTGGGGGGATGGAGTCTTCCTCTGTCACCCAGGCTGGAGTACAGTGACACCATCTCGGCTCACTGCAACATCTGCCTCCTGGGTCCAAGAGATTCTCCTGCCTCAGCCTCCCGAGTAGCTGGGATTACAGGTGCCCACGACCATGCCCAGTTAATTTTTTGTATTTTTAGTAGAAACAGGTTTTTGCCATGTTGGCCAGGCTGGTCTTGAACTCCTGACCTCAGGTGATCTGCCTGCCTTGGCCTCCCAAAGTGCTGGATTACAGGCGTGAGCCACCACACCTGGCAGTCTTTGTATCACTTCCACACTCCCCTATCAGTTTGCCCTGCACCTTCCAAAGGCAAAGTTGTATTCAAATCCTTTCTTCTGAGAACCCATGCTAATCACCAGACTCAACTGATTAGACAAGGAATGAGCCTTGACCCAAGACAGCCATTGTGTTTGGCCACAACTCTGCTGTGTACATGGTTATGGTTAGGAAAGCAATTCAACGTTTTCTCAAGGAGCACAGAAGGAAGACACTAAAGTAGGAAAAAGGAAAGAGTAACGAATGAGCTGGCTTTTGGGAATGGTGGCATCCTGGGGGAGGCAAGTGTCCTCCTGAGTCCTGACTATCCCACCCCACTGATGGGCTTCCCTGAGAGTGCCAAGATGTCTGTGCACTTTTTGTTTTTTTCAGATGGAGTCTCGCTCTGTCGCCCAGGCTGGAGTGCAGTGGCGCGATGATCTCGGCTCACTGCAAGCTCCGCCTCCTGGGTTCAAGAGATTCTCCTGCCTCAGCCTCCTGAGTAGTGGGGATTACAGGCATGCGTCACCATGCCCAGCTAATTTTTATATTTTTAGCAGAGACAGGGTTTCTCCATGTTGGTCAGGCTGGTCTTGAACTCCTGACCTTGTGATCCGCCTGCCTCTGCCTTCCAAAGTACTGGGATTGCAGGTGTGAGCCACTGTGCCCGGCCATCTGTGCACTTTTATAACAACTTCCACCACCTGCCTCAACCTGAGCACAGCTACCCTCACAATCTTAAAAGGCCCAACTCATGGAGACTTTAGAGTCAGACAGACCTCAGTTCAGATCAGTCTTATGTAGTCTTCAATGAATGACTTTCAGCCTCTGAGCCTCAATTTCCTCAGTTCTGAATGGGAGAACACTATCTCACATGTGTTTGTGAGGATTAAATAAAGCAATGTGTGCTAAGCAACCTGATACATAGCTTGTTGTCAGTAAATGTAGCTCTGTCCCTTACCTGAGCTCTTCTACAGATACTGGCATCTACAAATAGGTCCTGTCTTTTGGTCGTCATGGTGACCCTAGGCAAACTATAAATTTCCCCTAATGAAGTTGAGATAGTTTCTGTTTTCGTGCTGTGCCTGTGTCTCGAATAGATTAAAAACTCTCAAAGGAGTCACATTTTAGAATGTGTAGTCTGACCATTTATAGTCCACATCACCCACTTTGATACAGGCAAAACCAATCAAAGAGGGAAAGCAGAAAAGGTTCAACTCAGTCTTCCCTGAGCACAAAGGTGCTCTGTATTTTTGGTGGTTTAGGAAACAACTGGAGGGTGGGACTGGCAACAACGGGAATTGTTGGTTGGCTTTGGAAGGAAGCCTTTGGCCAGTTGGTGTCATTCAAGAGGCCACTGATCGGGCACAGCGGCTCATACCTGTAATCCCAGCACTTTGGGAGGCTGAGGTGGGAGGACTGCTTGAGCCCAGGAGTTCAAGAGTTCAGTTCTTGAACAATCTGGACCAAGGTAAGAACAACATAGGGAGAATCTTATCTCTACAAAGTAAAAAGAAATAAATTGAAACCTAGCTGGTTGTGGTGGTGTGTGCCTGTGGTTCCAGGTACTTGGAAGGCTGAGATAGGAGGATCACTTGGACCCAGGAGGTTGAGGCTGCAGTGAGATATGGTCGTGCCACTGCACTCCAGCCTGGGTGACAAAGTGAAACCCTGATTAAAAAAAAAAAAAAAAAGGCCATGAAGCAAGCTCTTCTTGGGTGCCCTTCATTTTATTTTCCCTTTGGGTAATTCATTTCGATGCAAAACAGCAAGCACACCTGAGTACCTGATTGTACCAGGTCTGGAGCTAGGCACGAGGGTCTCAGATATGAATCTAGCTCAGGGTCTGCCTCAGGGAGCTCATGATCAGCAACATTGCTTTCCTTCTTTGTAAAATGAAGGTGTCAGAGTACATGATTTTTAAATCCCTTCTCACCTTGAGTTTCTATCATTTGTATGAATCTGAGGTCAATTCTAAGAGGAAGCCTATGAAGAAAGGCTTTACTTGGCTGGGGGCAGTGGCTCACGCCTGTAATCCCAGCACTTTGGGAGGCTGAGGCAGGCGGATCACAAGTTCAGGAGTTCAAGACCAGCCTGGCAAATATAGTGAAACCCTCATCTCTACTAAAAATACAAAAATTAGCTGGGCATGGTGGTGGGTGCCTGTAGTCCCAGCTACTTGGGAGGCTGAGGCAGGAGAATCGCTTGAACCTGGGAGGTGGAGTTTGCAGTGAGCCAAGATCACGCCATTGCACTCCAGCCTGGGTGACAGAGCGAGACTCCATCTCAAAAAAAAAAAAAAAAAAAAAAAAGGAAAGGCTTTACTTAAAGATAAAGATAAGGGTGAGAGACGATTGAGATGTCATGGATTTTTGCAAGTACCAAAATGCTCACCTAGCATCTCTCTTTCCATAAGTTAAAAAAACAAACAAACAAACAAAAAACTGTCAGGTAACAGGGAACCTGGCATGTAAATAATCTGTGTCCACCACTGAGGTTCAAAATGTCTGGGGCAGACATCTATAGTCTGTTCTGCTTTAGCATTTGTTTTGAAAATGCAAATTTGTTCCAATGCAATTGATATATCGAAAAACAATTTGAGCGTAATGCAAATTTTGCATTTGTTTATGTGTGATTTCATCCACAGGACGCTAGGTGAAAGCAGAAAACGGCTTCCAGCTGAACTGAGCCATAAAGTGTCAAGTGAAAAACCAATCTGGACCAAGGTAAGAAAACTTTTATTTTTTCACAAGGGTCAGTAGACTATTGCAAAAGAAAGAACACTTTAACCATGAAATTTGTAAGCATCTCCAGGGTTAGGCAAAACCAGTTTTTCTTTTATGGAGAGAAGTCAACAAAGCTAGAAAAAACCAATGTGAACACTAAGATAAAAAGCCGTGTGTGATGAAATAGAGCAGATCAGAGAATGTCAGCCTGCTCCCAGGAGGATCTCTCATAGGGAGGGGCTGTCTGCTGGCTGAGGTTGAGGGTGGGCCAAGGCTCAGGGGCCTCAGGGAAGGAGAGAAGCTTAACCTAAGTTTAGTTAACAAAGATTTTGTTTCTGATTGATCAGTGGGGCAAAATACTTCAGCTAAGCATTTTACAAGGCTTGTGAGAACAGCAGTTTGGAGGATCTGTGTCTGGCCTTGTCATAGGTTAACAAGGGGGCTTCCATGAGGCTTATCTAAGTCACATGTGAAGTGTCACTCTTTGTAGTAAGCTGTTTCCAGAACACAGAAGGGTGACGGGATTTCTTTACCTATTGCTGTCTTCCAGGATAACAGGACACCAGTAAAATTCAACAGCATTGATAGGAATGCTGAATAGGAATTCAACAAAACATACAAATACATACACTTCAAACACCTACCAGCTGTCCCAGTTCTCCAAGTGTGTTATAAGCCACACCTCCCTCCAAATGGTGTTACAGCTGATATTCCGATTTCAGATGACCCTCCTTCTGTCAGAGGTATTTGAACCAGAGTGACTCCATCTTGAATAGGGGGCTGGGTAAAATGAGGCCGAGACCTACTGGGCTGCATTTCCAGGAGGTTAGGTGTTCTTAGACACAGGATGACATAGGAAGTTGCCACAGGTCACAAAGACCTTGCTGATAAAACAGCATGTGGTACAGAAGCCAGCCAAATCCCACCAAAACCAAAATTACCATGAAAGTGACCTCTGGTTGTCCTCACTGCTCATTATACACTTATTATAATACTAAGAGACACTCCCACCAGTGCCACGACAATTTACAAATGCCATGGCAACATCAGGAAGTTAGTCTATATGATCTAAAAGGGGGAGGAACCCTCGTTCCGGGAATTTTCCACCCCTTTCCCAGCAACCTCCTGAATAATCCATCCCTTGTTTAGCATATAATTAAGAAATAATGATAAAAAACAGCCAACCAGCAGTCCTTGGGGTTGCTCTGCTTATGGAGTTGCCATTATTTTGTTTCTTTACTTCTCTAATAAATTTGCTTTTACTTTACTATATGGACTCACCCCAAATTGTTTCTTGCACAAGGTCCAAGAACCCTCTCTTGGGGTCTGGATTAGGATTCCTTTCTGGTAACATTTCTACCACTGCACAGTATCTCACAAGCTGTCACCCTTTCTTCAACTTTAAACTTCAGGTTTTATTCAAGATAAACTGCCACATTTATTGTAGTGTGTCTTAGTCTGTTTTGTGTTGCTACAACAGAATACCACAGACTGGGTAATTTATAATGAACAGAAATTTATTTGGCTCATGGTTCTGGAGGCTGGGAAGTCCAAGAGAATGGCACTGGCTTCTAGCAAGGGCCTTCATGCTGCATCACGCCGTGGTGAAATGCTGAAGGCCAAGAGAGCACATGAGTGAAAAAGAGAGAGAAAGAAGGGAAGGGTGCTGAACTTATCCTTTTTATCAGGAACCCACTCCCACAATAACTAACCCAGTTCCATGATAACAGCATTAATCTATTCATTAGGGAAGAGCCCTCATGACCTAATCACCTCTTAAAGGTGACGCCTCTCAACAGTGCTGCATTGGGGATTCAGTCTCCAACACACGAAGTCTGGGGGACACATTCAAACAATAGTATGGTGTTTATGTCTTTCTTAACCATCAAATATGTGTGAGACTGTGCTACCATTTTTGTTAGTTTCCTATCTTTTTTTTAATGTGTCACTGACAATGTTTTTGAGTGTGCCCTAACTCCATTTTTCCATAAGCCCTATGACTTTATTATTTTATTTTATTTTATTTTATTTTATTTTATTTTATTTTATTTTATTTTATTTTGAGACAGAGTCTTGTTCTGTTGCCTAGGTTGGAGTGCAGTGGCACAATCTTGACTCACTACAGCCTCTGCCTCCTAGGTTCAAGAGATTCTTGTGCCTCAGCCTCCCGAGTAGCTGGGACTACAGGTGTGCACCACAATACCCGGTTAATTTTGGTATTTTTAGTAGAGATGCAGTTTCACCTTGTTGGCCAGGCTGGTCTTGAACTGCTGACCTGAACTGACCCACCTGCCTCAGCCTCCCAAAGTGCTGAGATGACAGGCATGAGCCACCACGCCTGGCCTACCCTGTGATTTTTAATCACACAATTTTACATAGCACAATGATTTTTAGGAACACATAAATCATTTTATAGTGGAACTGTCTGTATTTGCAGCACAGTCAGCTCTTAGGAGAGGAAGCAACCCAGGGTAATGGCACTTTACAACTCCAGGGACAATGGTTACATGGCACCTTCTGTGGTGTGTATTCTGTGGAGTGTGCCCATAGGACCATGAATGTTTTGTGCCCAGCACAAGGGTTCCCAGCTGAGATGTGGACAGGGGCTGAGATCCAATGCTTACTCTGCCTGCCAAAGTCATCACATTCTCTGTCCACCCAGAGGGAGCTCCTGTTGCTAGCTCATAGCACACAAAAGAGGAGAAAAGGGGTTTTAATTGCATTTGGAATTGAAGTGAAATAGTTGAAAAAAACAGAATTGTATTGTAAATGTCAAAATGAGATTTTACTAACAGCCTAAAACAGTGCTTCCAAATCTCAAAGAAAAGGATGACATTTGTTGACCACTTATGGGCCAAGGCAACTGGCCAAGAGCTCTGACAGCCCCAGGCCCCACCCATGCTACTCAGAGGGTTAAGGGATTTATTTCTCCATCTGTCCTGCACTTTCATAGTTCAGTGTGCTGTGGCATCTTAATTGGATACCTCTGACCAAAAGTGAAGGTAAATTAAGGAACCTTACCAAGATGACATCATGGGACTCATTACTTAATGGGAAAGGCAAAGTAGGGGGCTGGAGGGCAGGGAAACAGGGGAGATATGTGTTAGTTAGTGCACTTACTGAAAGAGGGAAAGCAATTTCTATATTGAGGGGACCATACATTCTAATTTGCCCAGGACACTCCTGGTTTATGCATCCTTTTTCATCCTCAAAAGGGTCCCAGTGACCCTATCTATACTCCAAAAAGTTAACACTTCTTAATCAATAATTGGTGAAACACCCTGTGGTGTGTGTGTGTGTGTATATATATATATATTTGGTCCTTGTCCTGTCCCTGGTTTTTGACAAGGAGCTCCTAAATCCTTTGACATTTTTTGAGTGAAAGGAGTGTCTTTTGTTTTTCAAAGGAACCTTTGAGTCCTTGTCTGTCTTCAGCCATGTATGAAAGTGTATGCGAATAAGGTCAATCTTGTTGGGCACCTAGATGACTTCAGGATGGGGCTGGTCATCAGAGGAATCAAGTGTGTGATTACAGGGCTGCAACATCCAGTCCCACTGGGGAGGGGACAGGGGCAGGAGTTTGAGCTCAATCACCAATGGCCAGTGATTTAATCAACCATGCCTATGTAATGAAATTGCCATAAAATCCCCTAAAGGAGACAGAAGGGTTTCAGAGCTTCTGAGTTGATTAACACATCCATGGATGGCGAGGGTGGTGCACCCTGACTCCACAGGGACAGAGGTTCCTGAACTCGGCACCCTTCCAGACTTTACCCTATGCACCTCTTCATCTAGCTGTTCATTCATATCCTTCATAATAAACTGTAGGTGTAGTATTTTCCTGAGTTCTATGAGTCATTCTAGCAAATTATTGTACTTGAAGCAAGCATGGGCCATGGGGATTCCTGAATTTGTAGCCAAACTGGACAAAAGTGCAGGCAGCCCAGAAACCCCAGACTTATGGCTGGTGTCCCAAGTGAGGGCTGTCTTGTGGGACTGAGCCCTTAAACCTATGGAGTCTGACACTAACTCTGGTTAGTCAGTGTCAGAATAGGATTGGATTGTTGTACACCTAGTTAGTGTCATGGGAACCAGAGACAGTCCTTCAAGTTTTAATTATAACCCCCTCTAGAAGACAATTGGTCTGGGGACAGATCTTAGTAGTAGATGCCAGACTGCGTATTACCACTCCCCTCAACGTTAGAGACGTGGCCATGGGCCTCCCACCTCCTCCCTTGAAGTGCAACAGGACCACCATGTTGCCCGCCTCCTCAGGCACCATTCACAGTGTATTTTATGTGAAGGTGTGGGTTTATCTTTTTTAATTCCTAGGAAATAAGAATTCAAGGTGACCTTCCCGGCACCCTCTCTACCTGAGCAGCCTCCCCAATACCATTTCATAAGGATTTTCCCCAGCTCAAGTAGTAGATGAGAACTTTTGCAAATCAGCTGGCTAACCAGATGTCCAACGGTGGAACAGACTACCAGTGTCTTTTCTTGCAGACACCCCAGTTTGAGCCCTACGTCTGTCTTGGCCTTAGGGAAAAGACAAAGGGGCATCCCTGCATGAACACTGTACTACCCACTGGCCAACGACCTCTAATATTTTTTGGGAAAGGTGTGGACCAGTTTCATTTTTTCTCAGTAAGGCTTGCGGGAATATGTGTGCTCTGAGAAGGGAACACTATCAGGTAGGTGACTTGATTGACGTGTCTGCCACGATGGTCCTGCTGCTTAGAAATCCATCAGTCCTTTGTGCATACCCCCTACTTCTGGGACTGTTCACCTGCATCAGTGACCAATGGTTTTGGCTAAAAGTTACAAAACCACATTGGCCAGGCTAGCCTCGAACTCCTGACTTCAAGTGATCCGCCTGCCTTGGCCTCCCAAAGTACTGGGATTAAAGGTGTGAGCCACCTGTAATCCAGCCCAAAAGCCTTTTCTTTCTGAGGCTCTGTCTTTTTTCTAGGAATTGAGGGTCCCAGACTGACTCCCCTTAGGTCTCTTTGTCCAAAACTGGGGTTGGAAACAAAAAGGGGAATGGGATTGCCAGGGCTGGCATAGACACATGATGACTTGTTTCTGGTGTTGGGGGAAGGATCTTGCCCTTACAACAAGCCAGGGAAAGCGGTGGAGGGGCGGGTAATGGTCACCCCTCTGAGTGCCAACCTTGACCGTCTATCTTCCTTGCTGGTCAGTTCTTCAGTGCACCTGCACCTCCAATGTCCACACCTTTCTTGCAGACACCCCAGGTGGAGGCCCTTCCTTTTTTCTCCCTCCCAGCAATACTGGACTTTTCCACAGCAGTGGATACCACTCAATAAATGTTTCTTAAATAAATGAAGACAAAAAATTAAAAAAAAAAAAAAAAAGATTTTATGGCGGGTGTGTGGGGAATATAGAATTTGGAAGAAACATATTTCATAGAATTATTAGACAAATAGAACCTAGAGATCAGGAATTCATTGCCTGGAGCCCATGACTTGATGTCAGGGGGTTTCATGAAACCCTGAGATTGTATGAAACATTTTGCATGAATGTGTATATAAATTTTGGGTAGGGTGTGTCCTTGGTTTATAGCACATGTTGAAGATTCTGTAACCTCTAAAAGACTCAGAAAGCCCACCCCAAATGGCCTAGGGCAACACCCTCCAATTACTGGTGGGCAAGGTAGTAGCCAGCATCCTCCAGGGAATGATAAGCTAGCAGGGCTGAGCATCTGACTCCCAGGACTTCTCCTCCTAAAGCCACAGACTCCATTGTTTCTATTTTTAAAAGGTCAGTCCAAAAGGTGTTATTATTCTCTGTCTCCCAGCACAGCTTGGAGCAGAGTGGCCAGACTAGGGAAGGAGTCTCTCATGATGACTCACCACCGTCCTTCCATGAGTAATGGCCTTCAGGCTCTATCACTCACTTGTGCTGACGCACTGGAC